CTACCATGCTTTTCGGGATTAAAGCTAGTGTTCTTTGGGAGTTGATGGGTGGTATGGGATCGCGTTTGAGAATCTAGAAATGTTCAAGCGGAGTTGACACGCTCCATTCAAGTAAGACTCGACCACCACAGCTAATAATTAATTGCCTCTTTAATCTATGGATTATTCGGCACCTTATCCAAGGGCTGAATACCCGTGTACAACATCTTCGCAGTCTGCATCCAATGAACTCTTTCCCTTTCCTTCAGCAGAGCCCACAACGAGCTCGCAGCCATCCCACGATCATTACCAACACGAAGAGGAGATAGTAGAAGAAAAAAGATCCCTTGAAACCCCCAGACCTTTTAGAACCAGCCTTATTGACTCGCTTCGGGATCGTTTCCCAAATGGACCGCCAGAAACGTACGATGAGTTCATCCAGGTGTCTCTGAGTAACATTCCTCCTGGAATCATAGATAACTATGAATCAGAATTTCCTACGCAGCGGACAAAGGTTTCGACCCTCCGGACGCTGTTCAATGCAACTTCTCAATTGATCACTTCTACCGCTGCAAGCATGGTGTCTTGTGAGTTACCATAGGTATGATGATCGATAACACGTATTGATATATGCTATTTATAGCTTCAGATTCGCAGAAACTGCGTCCAATCATTTCTTACCCGAAACGCATCGAACCTACCAATTCAAAACCCTCTCGCTCCCCCGTCCAGTCTTCTCCAGTTCAATTCTACACACAGTCCTTCACGGGAGTAGGTCCACCACCACCTCTTCCCTCCCCATCCGATGTACTCGACATTCGGCCCTTGTCGAGGAACACGACCCGAAGGTCTCATAGCTCCCATGGGCACTCTCGCGTATCGGGAGACCAGCCCAGGCGTCATATTCTTATCGACGTTGCTCAACCGACCTTGTATCCGCCCACTCAATCCGATGCTGTGAACAAGGACCCAAGCACTTTTCCCCGTCAAATTCAGGCCAAAAGGAAGACTGTTCGCATCGTCACCCCACACAAAACGCAAAAGATGTCAAATCCTAAGAAGAGACCAAAGTCAGGAAACCGTGTGGTTGGGCTATTTGCAGGATTCACTTCTCTCTTCAGTATTACCTTGGAAGATATCATCCATATCCTCACCTTCTCCGATCCTGCACATTCGTTATTCGTTCTAGGTTTCTTCACTGGCCCTCAAACTTGGTTACTCGGGGGGTTTTATGTCCCATCGATGGACCGCCATGATCGTAAAAGTCGGTTGAGAGTCTGGGTTGGCAAGAAGATTGAACAAATTCGCGATGGCACACCAAAACCCAGTGTAGAGAGAGCCTCGGATGAACTGTTGGAGAGAATCGAGCGAGCGTCCTCTAGACTCACCTCAGAATCTTTTGAGATCGGCCGGCATACCGCCTCTGATAGCAATAATAGCAGACCAAGGCTGCAATCAAACGTACCGAGTCCTGCCAACACGCGAGCTGCCTCTCAATATTTAGATATACCCCGCCAGAGTACTCCCTCTGATGCACCACACATTCATTTTCGCTCTTTTCTTGCAGTTCCAAACGGTCCTAAAGGTCCAAACCTTTCCGCAGTGTTGAATGACTTGGAAGAGCTAGGCGTCAACCCCGAGCGCAGCGTATGGATTCGTCGTTGTAGGATTGCATCCTACATTTCCGGTTTCGTCATGTTGATCATTTTCAGCATCGCACTCTCTTTCGTACACAATGAGTGGTGAAGGCCACTTTGTACTTGAAAGAACTAAATTATATCATAGAAAACATATAGACCTGCCACACAAGGCACTGCTTTGTGATTCGTTGATGTACTCCATCTTGTAGCTTTTGGCATTGACCGCTTAGATATTTCTTGTAGCCACGCATTGTATCATGGCATTAACATGTTATTTTATCCTACTTGTTGTTCCTAGAAATTTGTGTCTATTTAAGCGCTTTGGAAAATCATTGCGATTTTCGTGTATTGTGGCGAGTGTATAAAGTTGGATATCAACCACATTGACCAGTGATCGGCAAAATCGTGAGGTCCTCACCAAAACTTTTCTAAAAGGATTTCTTTTATTGTTACATTGAAATCGGCGCAATGGCAGAGACAGGAAAAGCATGGCCACTTGCAGATGCAAATCTGACGGACAAGGTATTTTTGCGCTTCCCTTCCCCTCTAACGGGCCCTAAAAGAATCACTGTATGATTTTATTGACGTTTAAATGATAGATTCTCGACCTTGTACAACAAGCATCAAACTATAAGCAATTGAAGAAAGGAGCGAATGAAGGTGAGCGCCAACGTGACAATTCTGATCGAACCATTACTAAAATTTGATTGAAATAGCCACAAAGACCCTGAATAGAGGCATTGCAGAGTTTATCGTCCTCACAGCAGACACTGAGCCGATTGAGATTCTTATGCATCTCCCCCTTCTTTGTGAGGATAAGGTATGTTCAAACTCTGTTCGTCAAGGTACATGAATTAAAACCTATCTCTCCAATAGAACGTGCCGTACATCTTTGTGCCCTCAAAAGCAGCTCTTGGACGCGCTTGCAATGTTACGCGTCCCGTCATCGCTGCAAGCGTCACGACAAGCGAAGCACAAGAGCTCGCGAGCCAAATCAGGACTATTAAGAATCTCATCGAGAAGGCGATGATCTAGTGAAATAGATTCCAATGCCATATCACAATGCATTCATGAATAAAACCCAGTTCACTCTCACGCAGTTTGAACCGTCATCTTTATTACTACATTCCTTATCCTCATGACAAAGCCTGTGTCCCGAGTTTAGCTTCATCCCTCGTCACCACTTTCTCGATAACCCTTTTGACAAGCTCTGGGTCTGGTCTCTCCACCTCGATGACCCTCCTGGGTAGGTTGAGAAGTCCCTTGAACTCGGGCGGTAGTACTTGTCCTTCAAAATCAAACCAGGGCAAACTTGAGAGAGCTTTGGTGACTGCTTCTGAAAACTTGGCGGGGTGAGCAGTCGAGAGGACGATTTGTACAGTATCCTGAGAGTTGTGGGCAGCGAACTTTCCGGCTGCATGAAGAGCAACCGATGTATGTGGATCTGCAATATACGGTATCGCGGAAGAAGATGATGGTTGGTAAAACGCCTTGATTGTTTCTAGTGTCTGTAGACAAAGTGAGCACGAGAAGAGCCTTGGTCTAAGAGATACTCGCCTCTTCATCAGACACCCGTTCGGCTACAAAGTCTTTTCTGGCCAACTCGAGTACAGAAGTTGGCATCGGGACCTTTCCATCTGCCTTC